ATATGTTACTATAAGCCTAAAGAAGAGATTATTCGAGAATTGGGACTTGTAATAATTGCTATAAAAGGAAAACTATTAAATAGATTGCAGAAAGTCTTTCCCTGTTCGATTAGATATTTTCTAAAATATTTGGTAAACAAATTAAAATTTTAATTTTATTTTTATATAAAAACAATTAAAGAACATATTTGATTTAAAAAAAATTATTATTTAAAAGCATTCAATTAAGCATTTAATTTATTATAATATAGAAAGTAAATTAAGTTGAATTGGTTAAAAAAAGTAATTAATACACAAAAAAAAAATATTTTAAATAAAACATAAAATTTAGTTAATTAGAAAAAAAATAATTTAAAAAACCAAAACTGTTGGTATAGTTAGAATAAAATATATTTATGCAGTTAAATGTTTTTTGTTGTTTATAATTTTTTTAATTCTTATATGCATTATTTTATTAATTTTTTTACTTTAATTTAGAAGAAACCACTTATATAATTGCTTTATATAATTTTTTTATAGTATATATTTCTGGGAAATGCGTTGTGTTTAAGTTTATATATATATATGATTTGAATATATTGAAATTAAAAACTTTATTTTTTAAAAACTTTACGTTTATGCAATGCACAATCTTATCACGTATTTGTCATTATTGTTAAATAAAATGTGTTTAATCGTTTTAAGTTTGAGAGCGGCATATATATAAGGTATATATAAATATTTAATTTTTAAATGTAAGCGATTTATATATGTTTAATATTTAACAGCGTTAAAAAATAAATGTAAAGTAATAAATTAAAAACAAGAAACTAATTATACACAGCTTCAAAATAGGACACCTCACTACACAGTTGCAAAGTACGATCAAAAATAGCGATCGTTTTAGACCTACTCGTCCTTTCATACGTCGAAGTGTCCACCGTCTCACGCGTTACAATAAAAATATTTAGAAAGAATAAAAACCAATTCTCATTTAAAATCTTATAAAAACTTACTTAAAAATCCAAACTAAAATAAAATTAATAAGCGATAATAAAAAAACATCTATCACATAGAAATAAAAAGAAAAGTATAAAAAAAAAAATAAAAATAATGAAATAAATAAAATAAAAAAAATAATAATAAATAAAATAAAAATAAAAAAAAAAAAAATTATATAAAAATGATCAAAACTGATTAAAAATAATAAAAAAAAAATAAATAAATAAAAAAAATTAATACATGAATATTTAAATTAAAAATTAATACATATATATGTAAAAGAAAAAATAATAAATAATAAGGAAAAAACTAAACCAATAAATACAAATAAAAATAATCAAATCAAATTAATAAATATATATAAAATCATAAAAGAGTAATAATAAAAGTAAAACAAAATGTGGGTCCCAAGAACGGTCGTGTCTATATTCCGGAGCCACTCGTTAATCTATACGACCAAGTACCATTCAACACCTCTAAAGAGATTTTACAAGCAGGTCCCAGTGGGTTACCACACAACAACAAAATTTAAAAAAAACCCATACAAAATTATTATTAAAAAAAAAAACAAAAAAGTTAAAAAAAAATTTAAGAAAAAAAACAATATTTTTTAATTATTGATTAAAAATCAATTAACGTAAGATCCTAAAATTTGGAACTAAAATATATTGTAAAAAATTTAATTAAATTTGCTTTTATTGATTTCTATTAAAATTAGAGTGAGTACTTTGAAGACCTTTTGATGTGCTCTAAATAAATAATTTAAAAGTACAATTTACTATATAAAATAAATTTAATATTTGAGTAAACAAAATATTTCAAAATATTTTTTCTTATATAAACATAAACCACTCTCAAATTAAAACAAATAAATAAATGTTTATAAATACATAATTTTGTCTACATAATTTACAAATGAATGTTTAGTAGAGCAAATATAATCGAGCTTATTTGTAATTTATTCTGACATAAATGACACTTATTAGTATAGACAAATATATAATTTTTAACTTAACTATTGTATAATAATTTTTTTTGATTTCAAAAGTAATTTTTCTTTTTTTTAAATTAATTATTATTAGAAGATTAATAATTGTGCATTTAATTTCTTTTTTATTTTTAATTATAACATTATTTCAGAGAATTCTTACAAAAATATGCATAAAAATCGGAATTGATTTAATATTTTTTATTTTTATACATGTATGTATACATATACATAGAATTTATATATATGTATACATATACATACATACATTTTTTTTATTTCTATTACAATTTCATTGCAATTTTATTGCTTTTCTTTTCAGTTTTGTATTTAATTCATTTTTAATTTTTAATTTTTAAGTTTTAAGTAAATATACATATATATAATATAGTAACTATTTGCATTTAGGACTGTACTTTTATAACTATTCAAAAAACGAGAACCTAATATTAACAATTAAAATAATTGTTTATTGTTATATAAAATAAAATTATAGCAAATTCGTTAATAAACTGTGCTTCTGATAATATAAGAAAAAAATATAAAATACTTGAATTTTAATATTAATAAAAGCATGAAAATTACGTCTTTTATTAAATTAATTAGTATTTTGTCTTTAGATTAGTTAATGATAATTTTATTTTTTTTTTTTTAAATACGTTAATATTTGATTTCATTTCATTTTTAGATTTTTAATTCATTCGTTTGAGAAGTTTACATTGCTCGTTTTATATTGAGAAAGTCTTAACACATTAATTTAGTTCTTTGGGCGGGTATAGATTTTAAAATTTATAAAAGATAAAGATAATAAAGATTAATATTTTTTTTTTTTATTTTTGAATATTCTGTATGTATATTTTATGTAGCTGAACCTAGAAATTTATTGTGTGGTTTTTTTTTCTTATTCTCGACTATGATATTGTATTTTACATCACCTATATGCAATTTAGTATGAATTTAATTTCAATTTTAATCGGAGAAGAAATACATTATTCACGTCTTTTGCAAATACCCTGCAACTCGATATTTATCACAGTTTCATCAGAGATAGTTTAAATATTATTTAATAAACAAAAAATAAAAATAAAAAGACTAAACTTCTTAATTTTTCATAAAAAGAATTGTGCAAGTTTTTTTTTTTTTTATAATAAATTTATAATTGATTGCTCAAAATTTAAAAAGGGGATTTATTTTTCAGCAATTAAATTTTTATTTTTTCATTTAATATAAATATTTTATGTATTTAAAAAATCTATATACACATGCATTATTCTGTAAAATTATTTATTAATAAATTGACCAACTCGATATTAGAAAATAAATAAAACCAATTTTTTTTTTTGGTAAATATTTGTATCGACTTTAATTGATTTTACGCATTAATTTTTTACCAGACTTTAGAAGTAAACCGAAAAATCCCCATAAAAAATATTTAAAAATATATTAAAAATTTTAACAAAAAATTAATAAGTATAACAATTTGTGTATTAAATAACCGATCTTAAGCCTGGTTAAACTAAATTTGATTTTATTTTTCTATAAACAATTATCCTAACACTGAAGAGTGCACCAAAATACATTGTATAAAGATATAAACTATAATTTTGGTTTGAAATTAACAAATGAAATAAGAGTTTTTGTTCATACATTTTTTTGTTATTTAAAAATATATAAAAAATACAACCTAAAGCCCAGCAAAATTCTAAATTCGAATATTCAAAAAAAAAATACAAATTAAAAATATACGAAACACATATTTATTAAATATAAAATAGCAATCGTAATTGGAGCCAATACAGTATTTATATATGCATTAAAATCCAATGTCAGTTCAATGATATAAATAAAAATATATTTTAATTAATATTATACCAATAATATTATATTATACATAATGATGCACATGCTTTAAAAATACATAAAAATTAAAATTTTAATTTACTTGCTGAATTCGTTGATATTGATTTTAATTGTACAAATAAATTTGTTTTACATATTTCTTTTTTTTTTTTTTGCTAAGTAATTTATGTTTGAATGTAATTTGATAAAAAAGAACCTTCTCAACAAACCATATGATATCATAATTGATATTATATATGATTTGTTAGTTTGTTCTATGATTTGTTAATTTAATTATAAAAACTGTTTAACTTAAAGAACAAATGTCCCTGTTTGTGTTTTTGAATTGTTTTTTTGTTAACATTTAAAATTATAGTTTGAAGTTGATCTTTTTATTAAAGCTGTTACTTAAAGCGCAATATAATATATGTACGTATATGTTTAGAAAATATCATAATCATCGTATAAGCATCCTTTTACATCCTTTTTGAACTTAAAAACTACACACAAATCATATAAATACATTTTTATAATACAATTTTTAATTGTTAGTATATTTGGAAGCAAAAAGATGGCAAATGTAGTTTACTAAATAGAACACAACAAATTCTACGTAAATAATACAAAATAAGTAATTAGTATTTAATTAAATAATATAGTTAAACAATTTTATGTGTGTACAAAGTTATAATATAAAATAAAATTTAATATATATCTATAAAGCATATATATATGTATATATATATGTATGTCTTCTTAAAAGTCTTCTTTTAGGCGTACTGTGTGTGTGAATGTGTTTGTTTGTACTTTTGACAAGTTTTCTTTTGTTTTCTACCGATTTTCTTAGCTTTTTGCTAAAATTTTACACAATGCGTTTGTGTTTATTTCGCTACTTTTAAATAGACACATTTTTTTTGTTTTTGTTTTTGTTTTAGTTTAAGTATTTAAGGCTGATAAAGACTACATATTTAGTAAAATTAAAATTATAATTTATGTATAAACACGCATTTAACATTAAACTTATAAACAAACTTTAACTACATACAAACGGGGAGCATTGGACGTACAATGTTTTAAGCTACAAAATGCGAGTTTTGATATTTGGATTTTTTAATTTCATTATCGTTTCACTTTATACAGTTTTTATTTTTTTATATAAACGTTTTTTTTTTTTTATTTAAAATATTAACTTAATATTCATTAATAATTATATAAGAAAAAAATAATATAACAAAAAATTAAAATAAAAATTTATTGGCAAATACGAGCGAGCGAGGATATCTCTTCCTTTGGGCGGGCATTAATACACAATTTGTTTGTTGTACTAGCCTTTTGAATACGTAGGTATGTACTTTACTTTACTTAGGTATATATAAAAATATTTAATAACTATTTTTATATTAATGCCATTCATAATTACTTTTAATAAATATACTTTTAAACTATAATCAAAACAAAAATGAGTACAAGATTTGCATTAACACAATCACATTGCTTTTGTGTTCGACAATATATAGACCATGGTCTATATACTCTGAATACCTTCTTATGTATAAAAAAAATAGTTTATACAAAACGAAAAAGCAATTAATCGTGTTATTTTATATAAGATGCGCTTTTTTCATATGTATATGTATTCGTGTTGATGTTGGTGTTGGTGTTGATGTGTATATGTGTTCCAGCACATTTATGAAGTCGTTGATGTCGACCCAATTGCATTTGGTATGGTTATATTTGTCTCAGTAACTTTTTCAGTATTTAAAACATTTGATAGTATTTCTTTATTTGTTGTTACTGTTACGTTCTCTTTTCTTCCGTCTATTTCAATATCAATTTCCATTCCTTTATCATCCTCAGTATTTAATTCATTTAAATTTGACTTTTCTACAACTGCAGTAGCTGGTGTGCTATTGATGATTGAGTTACACCTAGAAATATTGAGTTATATGTGAATAAAAATTTATATATAAAAATAATTTCATCAATTGTTATTTAAGTAAGCTACCTCCACTTTTTCGATATAGCGGTTAAGTGATAATACAAATTTTTTTTTTCAATTATTCTAAACTTTAAGGATTTTTATAAAATCGCAGTGAAATACTTTTGGACAACTTTCCATGTTATCACTTCACTGTATTTAAGTAAAAAACTTTTAAATCTATATTAAAACTATGAAAAATCACTAATTGTAACTAGAGCAAAGTTATCTGCTGACCTGTCACTGCAACCAATTAACCAACCAAAACCAGAGCTTAACCGGACGTCCAAAGTACCATAAATTTATTTGCAATTTTTTAAAATACATTTCTTACATAAAAAACCTTTTACTCACATTTATCATTCAGTTAAAAAATTCTATATTATTTTAAATCTATCAGTCAGTCAGAAAAAGTCTCTATTAAATCTATATAAAGCCTTATAGATATTCAAGGTAAGCATAGAATTTATTTAAAATTTTCTAAAAACTATTTCTGTGAGAGCAAGCACAAAAGAGCTTGCTCTCACATATAGTACGACAGTCAAAAAAAAAAACGTTTAAGTCTATATCTTAATATATATACTATAACCAAATATAACTTAAGTATATCCAAAGTAGTAGAAATTCGTTTAGAATTTAAAAAAATATGTCAAAACAAGGAAGAATTTAACTGCTCATTTTTTGTCATTTTTGTAATTCTTTTTTATAAAACCTATAATATAGGCTGTTTAAAGACTGGACAAATTGAGATACAAAAAACTAAAAGTCAATATTATCTATTCATATCAGAGTTCATATTTGCGTACCTATGAGCGGCTCATTTTGGCTCATTCTGCTCACGGCTCAAGAGCCCTCAAAAAACTCTTTTCACACGATGGCTCACGCTCACGAGCGAGCCCAGCTACAGAGCTCACGCTCACGAGCAAGAGCCGCCATTAAGTTATAAATGGGCTCACGCTCGTGAGCAAGAATATGAGCTGCGGCTCATGAGATCTCATGCGCCCAATTTAAGATTTTATTATTATTTTTTTTTGTGAAAACATGTCATTAAAAAAGATTTAAAATATTAATAATCTTGAACTAACTATAATATAGAAATAATCAAAGTTATCAAAATAAACAATAAATATTTTTGTATTGTTTATTTGTGGAAAATAATAATATTTTATAAGTTTGTTTTTCAATTTAAAATTATTGTTTCATTACATTGTTTTAATATAAATAATAATCAGTTAAGTTAATTTCAAATTATATATTTTCACATATAACGTTTATAAAAATAAATAAAGCAAATAAACTAATAAATCGCTTTTTATTAAACAGTTGAGCTCGTGAGACCTCATGAGCAGCTCTTCAATATGAGCAACTTGAAGGCTCACGCTGGTGAGCAGCTCTTCAATATGAGCCAATTTTGGACTCACGCTCATGAGCCAATTTTGGGCTCACGCTCATGAGCCAATTTTGGGCTCAAGCTCATGAGCCAATTTTGGGCTCACGCTCATGAGCCAATTTTGGGCTCACATAAGAATTGGCTCTTGCCCATGAGCCTGAGCTGCTCATGAGTGAGCAAATACGAACCCTGATTCATATATAAATTTCATAAAGAAATATGAAGTCTTCACTGCAAGTAGAAGTAATGACTGCTAAAACATAAAGTTATTTTACCGGAATTATTTTCCGCTATGCAGTGCATATACACAATACAACGACCACGACTACAGTTCTTAAATCATAATATTACAGGAATGGTACACAGAACATATAACATAAAAGCAATAAATTTATATTAAAAAATTATTCATTCTGATTATAGAACTTCTCAGTTTAGCAGTCTTGAGTCTCTGTTGGAAGGAATGCCCAATAATTAGTTGTCTGAAAATACAAGTTCGATTCGACTAAAACAGCAAAAAGGTTTGTGATACATGTTTAAGAAAGAAGCTTTTTGAACATAATATTTAACTTTGAGAACAGGAAAGAAAACAAGGATTGGGATCAAAATTGCACACTAGCATCTTCCTCATCCTTACTTCTACCTTCCCATTTCTTATGTGTGCCTTCTTTCTGATCGCTGTTTAGCTAAAACAAAAACACATCATAAAAAGGACAACTATATAAAATACTAAATGTCACTTCAACTTAGTAAGAAGAGAAAATAGAATAAATATATACGTAACTGAAATCTACTACCATCCAATTTAAATGAAACCAAAACTAAGGTTAAAGATATTGTGTATCTACGTTAATTTGACATGGAAAAAACTATTAACATAAATTGTTTAAAGAAAAAATATATAAATAATTTATATTTATTGTATTTCATAAAAGCAGTATATTGACAATTTAAGCATACTATATGGGTGCAAAGCCTATAAGGGAACCACGCGTTTTTGCGAAACCGAGCATTTACATTTAATAGCTACTATTAGCTACTAGATTTAAATGCAATTCTAATGAAGCAATGAACCAGAACACAAACATCTTCATATATAGATGCCCAAAGTCCAAATTCATACAAAATAAATATCCACTTAAATTGTAAACAAAAATAAGTAAATGTTTAATTGTTCACAAAAGTTCAACTTTTCACATAAATTATGATTTAATGTGTGATTAAGATGAACTTTGACTGCGAAAAGTTTGTTTTCTGAACTTTCTGCCAATTTTATGCTTGAACATCAATATATAAGTTGTCTATGGTTTTATTTTATGTAAGCTTAAATTAATACAATTTATCTAAACAATAAATTTAGTTTAGTTAAAATACTAATCCAACATTGCTGTATAATTTCCAACTCCTTAACTTGAGATACATAACCTCAAGCTCACAAACTAACTTAACTTATCCAAAATATTCTATTATTACTTATTCTATTATTACTAATTCTATTATTACTAATTCTATTACTACTAATTTATTTTATAGTTTAGTGGTATTAAGATTAAATAACTTTTAGAAGTGTTTTTAAAGTTACTTGTTAATATATTGGAAGTAATAAGAATAAAATGTTAAAAAGTTATCTTACAATTTATCAGAGTTCTCATTTGCACTCAACTGCCCAATGTTTGGTCCATTTGCTGTAATTCCCTCTGAATCTTTTTCGTTTACATCATCATCGATTGCGCTGCCACCTAATGGCTTAGTCCACATACCCTCATCATCCTCATAATCATCTTCAGAACCCTGCAATACCGAGTTCAACGATTGCACTATAGCGGTCATATCATTTTTTATATTGTCATCCTTTTCAAACTTATTGAATGCAGCAAGTGATGTTAATGAAATGGATTTCTCTACATTAGCATTATTGTCATATTCTTCAATATTTTTATTTTCAGTTTTATCACTGGTAAATTGCTCATTAATCTCATTCTTATGTTGTTCAATATTAGTGGTACTCTCCTTAGATGCAGCTATTAAACTGTCACCCAAATCGCTGGCGAAGGAGCTAAAATGTGCATCGAAATCTGCAAAGTTATCTGAACTGAAATCAGCATTCCAGGGTGCACAACTATTTGTTCCAGACAAATCAGTGAAAGGATCTATTTTATCCCATGGATTAGTTATTGAGTTTTTGTATGAATACGACAGTGGTCTTGCATGCAATGATGTTGATGTTTTGCTACTGAACAATGGATGACCATCTTCGTTTCCATCATTTTTTTCATCATCATTATCATCAATGTTACGACCAAACTGAAACAAAATATCGCTTTCGACGTTATCATCATTATCAATTGGATCGTTGCGATACATATCATTTTCAAGAGCAAATATAATATCCTGTTTATCATACGATATGGTTTTTTTTTGTTTTTTTTTTATTTTTATTGTTTTGTTTAATATTAAAGCGGTGTTCATTGAATATTGTTCAATGTACGACAGATATTTCAAAAAAAAGGTACAAAGTAAAGAGATTAGAGAACAACTATTTTTTACGTAAAAAGTTTTGATTAATTTAATATGAAAATGAAAAATTAGGGTAGAAACCATGAAAATAAAGATATTAGTTGCTTAAATAAAAACAAAATTAATAAGAGAAATTTTGTGTATTCAAATGAACTACAGTGTGATTGATAGTGAGTAATAATTAAACTTAAGTATATGAATAGATAAGACTTACAGTTGTGCTGTTATCAGTAAAGGAATCCAAATTGTTTCTATAAAAATTATAACTTAATATTATTGGTACGTATGGCTTAAATAAATATCTAAATCTTACAGAACACCTGATGACATTAAGAAGTCCCAAGTGCTGGTATCATTAAGGAAGTCTTTAGGCAGGTGCTGGCTATAGTCGCCTGATTCTTGGGCAATGCAATTGGCCAACATTTTACTTTGTGTGGCTAAGGCTTTTGAGAGATCACCGTCTGGATACATAATTGTTTTCCACGATTCTACTTCAGATGCACCATTCAAATTACTCTCAATTAAGGCACCAATATATTCATACTCTGTTATATAACAAGAAATATGTTTAAATATTTTTATTAAATGGCCCATGTAGCCAAGGCGACGACGTGTTTCAGAAGCTCTGTAATTATTAAAAATAAAAACATTAAAACTTTTAAATATATATATATATTGTACTAGACTTACTCCATAGTTCGATTATGTTCCCAACAATCTATTAATCTAGATACTATTTTACAGTTATGAATAACCTAAATTAAAAAAAAAATAGTGTTAAAACTTGATAAAAATGTAATAAAATGTAAGAAAGAAATATTAATGACAAATAATACTATTTCGTTAGAAAAACAAAATATGCACATTCTAATCGCAACATGAGCTGTACAGTCTCTCCTCACAATGTAACCTAATCATGAATAAATCGACATATTGTATTGTGCTCGACCTAGCATCAGTGAGGTCTAGTATAAATGGTACTAACACCAACCGTACCGATCCAATGTTTACTTTGTAACTACGGTTGCACACTTCAAAATTCTCAATAGGCACGTGCCTAATAACTCTAGGGAAGAAAAACTTTCTCCATGAGCAGCCACCATAGTTGAGCTCAATGCTAAACAGTTACTTATCACGCATAAATACGTTTATTAATAATTAGTGCCATAACCGCAGCATACTAACTTGAGTCTAATCAATCTTTGGATCCGCTCCAAAAGTTTTTAGGAGGCCTCTTCGCTTTGATCCTGACTTTAATTTAAATCCCATCCATCTATTCTTACTCCAAACAACCCCCTCTCTTCTCACACTCCAATCACCTTTACACATCCTTACTTATGTATATGTCTTTATAATACTTGTCATTTTATCTGCTTCATAGATCTCTGCAGAGTATAACAACAGCAACCTAGTTTCTTCAATTCTATCCAGGCTAATTTTAATTCTTTTCCCCACTCTACTTTCACTTAATCACATCCTAACCCATTTCTACATAGATCTAGACATATTACAACAAAAGGTTATGATAACATTGATTACTTTTAAATTTTTCGCAATCAGATACGAAAAACATTATAAAGAAGCTTACATGTAGTTGCAATGCGGACGGACCACTGTCAAGTGATATTTTCGTAGTGTCATTTTCGTTGATTTCACTCTCTTGTGAATCGTTAGTTTCATTTGGCTGAAGTTCAAGATCATTGTTTTCAATTTCAATGTCTTTATTCTCTTCACTAGGTTTTTCTTCAATTTTGGTTTCTTCTTTATCACTTTCGGTCTCCATATTAGTATCACCACATGCGCCCACTTCTTTGTCTGCTATATCGTTTACGACAACAGCTTCCTTATTTTTAGTATCACCAATATCATCACTAGTCTTAAATACGAAATCAAAAAACGATGAACCTTCACCGTTGTTACCATTTTTACTAAATGAACCATCATTAGCTACTGTACTCGCTTGGGTCGAGTTATTTGTGTTTGATGCTTGATTTGTATAAAATATTAATTGAATACATTTTTCGACTTCGCCATGCAAAAAGTTATTCCAACAATATTGCTTAAACAGATCAAGCAGTGTCTCAAAATAGTCTGTCTCACAGATGCTATTAAATAGTTAATTAAATAAATAATTAAATATAACAAAAATTCTACTTTTGTCCAACTTACGCCTTTGTAATATCTTCATTTTTTGTTTGCAATAACAAAGTAAAAAGGGTGCAAATCTGCAATCGAGTATTTCCAAATGGTGGTTTTAATGCACCTGCTGTGGTTACGATATCAGGTCTCTGTATATTAAATATTTTTCAATAAATATATTATTTATAAATAGATGAGGCTGCAATTTATACTCACTTTTGGCGGATTTCGTAATATTGTACTAAAATCGTTAAGGCGGGGTGCAATCACACTTACAACAGTCGTAATTATTTGGTCATGTATATCCTTCTCCTGAGTATGTAGGATTTTTATGCGGTCAGAATTTGGTTCATCACTAACAAAAAGAAAGAATAATTTAGTATAAATACATATATCGTTAATAATCACAAATATAACTAACAGAAAAGCAGTGGGTTTAATAAGTGTAAGTACAACTGTTATTCCTGATACGATTGTGCTTTCTAGCGCATTTGCTTCCAAAATCACATTTAATAAGGCTGTAACTGTAGATACACTTTCTATTGTTTTTAAAATTGGATTTGAACCACTAAACGCTGGTTCAAATGAATCATTTTCAGATTCTGTTTGACGCATTGTGCGCCCTTGTTGTATTAGATCACAGAGAAAATCAGCTACGAAATAATGCTTTTCAACTTCTGCAGGATTACCAAGTATTGCAATCAGTCTTTCGACGAGCTTATCTTCAGTAAGCCACTGTAAAAATACAATTTATTTTATTATACACATTTACACAATTTAATTTATAAATTATTTACTTCATATAAGTTTCGTTTTAGTTGTCCACCCTCAACGTCTCTCATCATTTGCAATATTAAATCGGGTATGACGGGTGTTGTGAAATGTTTACAAATTAAATCCAAAAAATTATTTTGTGACTTAAGATATTCCAAAAATTGTAGGCACATTTGTTGATACAAAAACCAATCTTGTTCAGCCTTTTTAGTAAAGAGCATGCAAAATGTCTTGCTAAAAAACGATGACAGCAAGGAATTTAACGGTGGTTCTTTTTCCAGATAAGAGTATAAGATTTTTAAAGTGTCAGCATCTGACAATAGCTTTTCATCTAAGGACGGTATACCACTGAAAAGAACACAATTATTAATATTATTATATATATAAATAGATTTTTATTTAATAATATATAACTTACAGTGTCAAAATCTCACAAGCCATATTTGCATGCCTATATTTGAGAACCATTGGCAATTCATCTGAAGGTTCTGTAGTTATTAACTCAATTAATCGTTTTATGACATCAAAACGGGTAAAGCTGAAAATAATTAATAATTTAATTCTAATTAAATTAAAACTATAATATTAAATTGACAAGTCTAGATGTTAATTATTAATTGGTGCGTTAATATTAATTTTATCAAACTGTTTTTCAATATTTACGAGTGTTAACTTTTTTAAGTATATAATTTGATTATCTTTCTTCATTATCTGAACTGATAAAAAAAAATATTTGAGATATCTATGTATTAATCAAATTCTATCAAATAAGTTAAGTGTGTTTGAAAACATACTTGTCTTATACTATTTGAAAACTATTTTAAACCAAAACTATACAGAACATATAATAGATAAAAGATCAACAAATTGATCAATTGAGTAGTAACTTGCAATTAATTAATATAAATGCATCTCCTACTTGAGTGGTCGCAAAACGAGAGTCTCTTGAAAACTTAAGAAATAAGTAATAACTCTGAACACTTGAAATGAATATTAAACTGAAAGATTCTTGTTTTTTTATTTAAATTAAAAATGAATTATTTAATAATAGAATATCCGAATTAATTACCTTATAGAAGAAAAATGTTAGTATAAAAGGTAATGGGAGTAACACTTTTAAAATGACGTTTTCTAAAGAAATTTAAGATGTTAGATTGCCATATCAAACTGATATATAATAATCAACGGAACATATAGCGATAATTTCTTCATACGGATATAGCTAGTCACAGAAGACTGACTCAATAAATTAACTATTGCTGATTATAGAAGGACATGAGAAATTTCTATGTATTGTACTGACTGACCTATTTCTTCTTCCATATACTATGGTTATATCAATGATATATCGAAATGTATGTTTACTCTATTCTAAAAGTATTTTTTAGTTATAACTCAATACACTTGCAAAAAGTTACAAATTACGAGTTTCCATCTTCCACCTTTTAACGTTTTTAAATGTAAATACGTCATATATGAGAATAGCAGTGAAATATTTATTTATTTATAATATAGATATACCAAAATAAAATATTTAACAAACTAAAAAATTCTAGTAGCAAATGTCTTCGGTTCTTGAAATAAATTAAAAATCATTTAATAGCAAGATAATATTAATAAGATAATAATAAAAAAATTGATAATAATATAATAATAACAAAAACAAAAATAATAAGAATAATAAGATAATAATAATAAAAATAATAAGATAATAATAATAAAAATAATAAGATAATAATAATATGGTAATAATTATAAAAATATTCGCTAGCTAGAAATTGCACAAAGCCAGGCTCTGAGAAGACTTTTCAATGTACCATAGTACATTAGGACGAAGGACATCCTCAGGGACCTCAAGATTGCTCCCATCAAAAAATACATAAAGGATAGAGCCCTGAAATTATTTGCGAAAACTGACAGACTCAGAATGGTTACAGGCTCCTCGGGGAGGTATGCAGATCTGAGGTCAATTATTACTTAGTCTAATGAAGTGATAAACAATAATCCAGTCAAAGCGTAAAGAGGGATTTTGAAAATATATCGAGTTAAGAAAGAGTAAAAGTGCTCAAGTGCCAAATCAAATTAATACAATTAACATTGGTATGACTAAGACATGAAAAAGTTAATTTAAAACTAGATTAAATATTATAGTTATCAAGGAAGAAATGTTCTCAATGAGATTCAGATATTGAATTTCTGCCTGAAGTGAAAAAATGAATTCGTTCATAGCCGATGAAGTCTGACGTTGGGAAGAGGTGTTTACGCCCAAATTATTTGAATAAGTTTTTAAACTTCCGTTTTTTTATGGAAGCCGATACCTTGCTACTTTACAAAGATTCTTTACAAAAAATTACTTTACAAGAAAAGCAATCACACAAACTACTTTATAAAAAAATCAAATAGAATTTACAATAATGTTCCGAAACACTTAAAATTAATACACCCAGTGGCTATGCTACACCAACTGTAGACATCGGTTACATCAGCTTCGAGAAACCACTTTTATTAAAATTAGAAAGATATGCTGTAATATACGCTAATAGATTCAATGCTTATATGAATATACAAATATTATTTCTCTACAAAATATGATAATTAAAAATAAAATGTATACTATTAGAAGGTCGGGGAATCCCTAAGTTTTAATTTTTAATTCAACTTAAAACCATTTCCAATTTAGATTTTCTAATATGTTAACGCTTCCGAACAATTAATAGCATTAAACAGAAATTTATGCACATTCATAATCTATTAACTAATAATTATTTCGCAATAATATACGCTAAAATACTATTCTTTCTTTTATAACATAAAAATGGCTTTTTGGTATTATTTTTTTCATGTAAATATACATTATCATTTATATATGATCAGTTCAGATTATATATAATTCCATATATTGCTATATATGATTAGAGAAATATATTTTTTCCCGGTAACTATAGTTATATTTTTAATCAATATGTAAACGGTAACGTCGACACGGACAACGTCAATTTTTTGATTTTGTTTTGGAATCTAAACAGCAACTTAATTTTGGTTATAAACTACTTTAACACATAAGGAGGCTTTTATACTTATTTTACTCACTAGTTAATAATTCCTTTCTTCTGGGTTCTGCATTCCTGTAGGATGTCTTCATCATCAAGAAATTCCTCCACTGTAGCATTCTAAAAATCAATAATACATTAATTTTATATACAGTTTAAAATCTGCGTAACGTGAGGATACTCACCTCCTTTTCCAGAAGTAACTCTATATTTTGCGAAGGCGTATAACCCTTGTCCCAGAACATTTTAGCTGCGTTGTACGTTTACTGCTAGCTGGTTTTTTTTACTCTCCCCGACACTTTTAATTCAAAATAAAAATAAACTAAAATTTATTTCGAATTTTTTCTACACCTTTCTCTTTAATCGCTTTTAGGTCTTTTCAGCACAGCACTAAAATTAAAAAGAAAACTTTAAACGTAAACATGAAAACTATTTAAAGTAACTCCCACAAATAATTCTGTGTAAAAATAAATAGGTGCTCCCCTCTCTACATGTAGACTACGACATATTTAATTGCGAAAAAAAATCACATTTCACCAAAAAATTTGCACTTTGGCACATTAAATCTTTTATTTACAATTACCTACACTTTTCTTAAGTTGAACTCATTATACTTATATTGGTTTTTATATTTATGGGTTTTTACTAAATTTATTATATGAAAGTCAATATTATTAAACCGTGAAGAAAATCTCGTAGTCGTTTGCACTGAAAAATATATATTTTTTGTTTTTGACAATTTTATAGGAGTTCTGTTATTAACTCTCTTGCTCGCTCTCTTTGCGCTGTCAAAATTATATCTGTCACTTTGCTATAAAATTGGAGGAGTACTCGCCACTCAGCGCAATGACTTGTTGCTGATGGAAGTTCAACAAAATGGTTACTTCAGTGTTTTGATATTCATTATATTAATTCTGCTGCAACTGATTTTTAATTTTCAAACAATTATTTTTATTTATTGGCATTGCAAAAATTATTTCTTTAATACCTGGACAGTAATTGAAACTGTAATACATCGACAGTATTATGTTGAAAAATTGTCAAACATCATTTATATTAATCAAGAAAAATGATTTATAGCAACTCAAATATTGTTACATTATTTTGTACAACATAAAAGTATATTTATTGATAAAAAAATCATCAGCCACAAAATTAACATATGCACAATTAAAACGCTTTTACTATTGATAAGAGACTATGATGCGGCAAAATACAGTCAATTAAGATTCTACGTTTTCTTTTCACAAGCCGACAAATATACTAGCGCACACACACGTATACAAATGTAATTGCAATTGTTAAACTCACCATAAACAAGCAAGGCAATTAATCTGTATTTTATATTCTATATAACAAACTGCAACAAATAATATAGAATTCTTAAGGTCAAAAATACTTTATGGCAAATCTCTTTTCTACTTGACAATTAAAAAGCAGAAAATCCACTTGATATAGGCACATAAAAACGAAAGAGATAGCTATATATTGCTCACTATTTAGCACATAAGAATCAACACGTTATTTTATATACTTTTCACAAACAAGCTCTCTATTTTAATTTATATTAATAGCAGTTATAGGTCACAATTTAATTAATGTTATTTTTATTAATTATATCTTACATTTATTATAATAATCCGAAAAACTTACTGCTGTTCTCCGCTTCGTGGAAAACTAAGAACTGCCAGATTCAAATTTCTTAATGAAACACAAGGTAGTAATTGGATATTTGTTACATAAATTTTTGTAGTAACGTATTGAAAATTACGTCACGTAAGCACATATGCTACGTAAGCGACAAATTAATTTATTGTTTAAGAAATTCCTATATATCAGATATTGCTTTATGTAACTATTTAATTTTTAATAGTTAAAAAAAAAATAGTTGAATTTATTTAATAAAAATATAATGCTATATGCTAAACATAAATTAATCTAAACACCAAAGAAATGTGTTAGTAACCGGCTTATTGAAATTAAGTTAAATCTAATTGAAGTGTTTCCAAAGTTTTGTTTACAATTGATAGAATATATTCATATTATATGTTAAATATCTTGATTTTATTTATCTTTTAAGGTAAATAAGTCAGTACTCAGTATTAGCTGAATATGAATATATTTGCATTATGGTATGAAAATTATTTACTTAATGTAATTTAATAAAAGTTTGCCATAAAAATATTTTAAACTTGTGAACGTTTTATTTGAAAAATTGTGATATTTGTATATTACTATTATGAAATAATCAGATTGTAGTCACAAGTAATAGTACTCATACGAAATATTCAATCATAGGAGAAATTATATTACTTGCAATATATTGTTATCACTTTTTTGAGAGTAAATTTATATTATATTATCTACAGATAATTTACACTACACCAGGACTTACAAAATTAAGATTGTGGTTCTAATAACTAAAAACTATTATATAAAATCTAATAAAAGGTAAAATAAAAAATAAAAAAATAAAAAAAATAAAATTATACTACTAACATTAAAATAGAGATAATAAAAAATCTCTTAAAAATTAAATATTTTAGTTATTAAGAAACTTGAGAAAAATTTTTTTTAGAAATAATAGCATACACTTCTACATGATAAGTTACTGCTGAAGTGCATTATTATTGATTTATAATTGATTATACCACAAGCATAATTGTTGAATGAGTTTATGTTATTTATTAAACTCTATTAAATACCACTCTAGAACTGAATTGGATTATTTTTAAAATCTTAGTTTTGTTTGATGATTTAATTTTAATATCAAATTTTATCCAATACCATTTCAAAACTAAATTGAATAATATTTAAAATGTTAGTTTTAGCATCATTTAAATCAAACGAATATATGATTTTGTATTCAATATATTTTTTTCAGTTAAACTTGTTTTTTAAATTCATTTCATTATGGTTTTTATAAAAAAAGGTGAAGGCATAGCGTTAAAAGTGAACGTATCTGCTTACGTTCTGCCAGCTTTAAATTTATAAATTAATATTCAAAAATGCATCCCTGTGCCAACAAAATCTCTTGCTATTTTTGCAGATGCCTTGCTCTTGCCGCTCATTTATTGAGTTTCCTTCACATGCCTTCATTGTCAAGAACTCGACTATTTATAAACAAAGCAGTCAAGCGATGTTCAAAAAATTCATAATACATATTATAAAAAATTATTTTGTGTTTATTAAACCTTCGCGATAGCACAGTACATTCTGATTTTGATTACATAAAGCATACAAGGGAACAACAACAACAACAATGTCCACTGTGTCGTCTGAAATCTATAAAGAAACAAATTTCGAGCGCATTAAAAGTGCTGATGGGAAAGTGATATCGAAATTTAAATTTTGTTATCCTACTGAAGAAGCCGACTATAAAAATTCACCACCTAAAGCAGCTGTAGACAAAGATGGTGATTTTCAAGTGTGTCGCCAACCGAAGGCTGGCACTGCTGCTATCGAAGTTGAGCACTCCGAAGAAACGGAAATACGACTTGTTGGTCTCCAAGTGTGGCGCGGTGCTTTGTTATTGGCAGATTATTTATTCCATTGTCGTAAAGAGTTTGAGCACAAAAACATTTTGGAATTGGGAGCCGGAGTTGGTCTTACAAGTATAGCGGCTGCTGTATACGTTAAACAAGTTGTATGCACCGATGTGGATTTGGGTGGCATATTAAATTTAATTCGCGCAAATGTACAACGCAATGCTCGTCTCTTAAGTGGAAATGTGGAAGTGCTTGAATATGATTTTTTCAAACTTCTAAAAGACTATACGCCTGCTCTGATAAAAGCCATTGACGAAAGTGATATTGTCTTGGCAGCAGATGTCATCTATGATGATGATCTGACGGATGCTTTCATACGTGTCATCGACTCTATATTTGAGCGGCAAAGTGTGACGGGGAAAAGTAAAACAATTTACGTAGCGCTGGAAAAACGTTATGTCTTCACCTTTTCAGAGTTCGATGCTGTGGCACCCATGTTTGAATATTTCATAAAACAAACGCTTAACAAAACTTGGCATTTCGAGTACATAAAGCTCGACTTTCCACAATATTTTGAATATGAACGCTGCAGGGAGCTTGTGCTGCTTAAATTGACCAACATATGAAAGTGCGGAGGAGACACTGTATGCAAATTTGCTTTTACAATTTTATTAGTTAATATCAATTAAAATCTTTAAACCTCTTAGTTGTTTGTACATAAATACACCTCGATTAATATATATATAATTCGCTTTTAAATAAATAAATAAGATTTGTACATAAGTAGTTATTCTTTATAAGTCCTGCATTGCCAATATTATGTTTTCGAGAGCTGTGCGTGCATCACTGGGTGGAAAACTCTCAAGAACACGCATCGCCGCAGTGGTGTGTTTACGTTGTAACTCTTTGGTTTTCTCCAAGCCCGGCCCAGACAAAACTTTTTGATGTACTTTTACATAATCAATGTTTTCTACAGAAATTTTTCCCTTTTCGATTTCTTCGTAAAGTGTAGGATCGTATTCCAAATGGAAGAGTACTGGTGCGCTCACAAGACTAAATGTGGTGTCTGTAAGAAGGGTAAGTAAAGGAAAGAAATAATATAACTGTTACTATATACTTGATTCATAAACTCACCGAGAGGTAGCGTATTGCTTTGAAATAGCTCAGCATCCAGGCAAGCTTGCCAAGCAAGAGACAAATGCTTTCCAAATCGATAAGCCTGCTTTTGCATTTCTTCGGACTGTCCAGCTAACTTCAAAGAACCCTGACATGATTTACCTAATAAGCTCCCAGCGTTGAGTATATTACGACATTCCCATTCCTTTTCTGGTATGCCCATAACTTTGGAAATATCCATCGGTTGCATTGCATCATTTTCGTTGAAATCGACACTAACATCACTGTTTTTAGCTTTAGTGTCTGGTTTTGAGGGTAGGGGATTATTTTGTTCATCACGTTCGCCAATAAATTCAGACTCGGAAAAATCTCGTACCGCAGAAGAAATAAGCTCCACCAGTTCTTGGTTGCGTAAGTTCGCTAGCTCAGCAGAAGAATGTCCAAGCAAATAGTCACCAGTTAGCAAACCGATTTTGTTACCAAATGTCATATCTTCATAGGTGGCTGTGTCTTTACCAGCTTCGGATGAACGTTGTAAGTTTACAAGACTCTATTGATGATTTTTAACCAAAAATAAAGAATAATAATATTTATTTCACACAATAAATAACAAAACTTATTTTTTGGAAGCTCACATTGTGCACCAAATGAGAAATGCGTATCATTTCTGTAACTTCAGCCAAAGCGCGCTGTGAGTGCAAAACTCCAGCACTTTTGTCTTGTTCCATATCTGGAATTGTAGGCGCATGACCCGCAGCCTTTGAAATCAGCAAAACAATTAAGCCCCAAGCCTGCATTGTGTTTTTGCCATTATATAACAAATGTCTTACAAAAAAAATTTTAATTATTAAAAAAAAGAATTATAAAAATATACTCTGCACTTACTTTGCAGTTTTTAGCAATGGATGATTGCTTCCAACCAATTTACGCAAGTGCAGAGCCACATTTGCAATTTCATCACTTAGCAGCCAACGTAAACTCAGAAAGGAGGTTGGATAGCCCACTATACGTTCAGCTTCACTGACTGCACGATTCCAATCGTGCTTCGGTGGTGCTTGTTTGGTGGCTAATTTTTCGCTTGTACTCGTTGATGACGTCGTTAAAGTACGCACGTATTGTTGTTGTAAAGTGAAAGTTTTGTTTAATGGAGTCGTTGAGATTGGATTATTTATTCGAAAATAATAACTAGCAATAGGTAATTGTGATAACCTGTGCACTTTTCTCAGTACAAATTTAGAACACTGCATTTTAATATTAGTAATTTTCTCACAATACTTCAGCTATTAAAGTAATTAAACTAATTTTTGAATAAAAAACTTAATGGCCTTCTCGTCACGAATAACGTCCGCTTGTTAGCTTCACTTGACATAAAGTGAAACTCGACTTACTCACAACCCAATTCTACACACCTCACAATATTGTTATTGCCGCGTTTCTCTGCTCAGTGAAAATGTTTTGTGTTTTGTTTGTTTTCATTGCTCCGCTTTGTTATTGTAAAAACAATTTTTGTAGTTATATAAAAGTTTATTGCATTTCCATTTAAAACCGGTTAAAGCGCACACCTGCCAGTTTCTTCTCAGCTGTCGAACAAAAACTCTTCTGAACAAAGTAAATTCATTTACAGCAATCGTTCGTTTTGTTTTGATTCCCCTCATTCGTATTGCGGTCATCAGCTGTGCCGAATTAAAAGCGTTCGAAAATATATAACATATTTTTATGACCTATAATAGTTGCTATTCAATAGATAATGATAAATGCAAGTAATTAGCATTACATTACATATGCCAGGTCTTTATTTGATGTAATAGTTTATTAGTTGCAATTTCTTGTTTTCATTTATTATACTGCACTACATCAATTAATGAAATAATTGCATTGCCAATGATATTTTTTACTAATCACGTTCCATTTTTATTTGCGCAGCACATATAATCCATGTTAAACCAATCATTGGCTAGAGTTCAACCTATTGTTATTATTCCTCCTGTTAGGTAATAAGATTATCATTTGCTGATATATAACAAATAAATGCAAATATATTCACATTCACTTTGTATATTTATTTTATATATACGAGATGCATTAATTAAACATATATATAAATTAATATTAAATGTAAACTATATATATATACAACTAGCTACTAGAGTTTGTTCATATGGTTTTCATAATAGGTCTGTTCCACGAGCTACTCGTAGTGAAACTAAAGTAAAACACAAGTAAAGTACAAACTGAGAGTGTAACAAAACTAAAGTGCCAAATTACGCTCTTTACACAGTGCCGGGCAAATAAACAATACAAAAATTTAAACTCAAACCAAAACAGCTGATTTACACATCACACAAATTTTACTTGAAATAAAATGTAAGAGTAAATGCTATGTAGCATTTTCAAATTTCGACAAGGATGTTATTCTCTCTCAGATGTTCTCATTTACTCGAAAATTTGCTGATGGAACGCACTTGTGTATACAGAGTGTTACTTAAAGATACTATGAGTAGCTTATGGAACAGACCTAATATGATTAGGCTGTCGATACGCGGTAATTTTCCATTAAAATTAATAAAAAATTAAAATGTTCTTCACAGTATGTTTATACTATCAATATATGTAAAGCAATTAGTGGTATCATTTCGTATACAAAATTAATATAAAATTTTTGAAGTAAATTTTACAAAAGTAATTCTTTGTATGGAAAAATTTGAATGACAATGTTAAGTATTGTTAATTTTAAATAAAAACGATATGGGTATTTTTTAAAATTAAATTCAATTGCACATTTTTAATGAATTTATTTTTATACAATACTGTGACAACACTTGAAATCCAATATCGTACAAATTTATATTTTTATATAAACGCTTTCATTCATATAAAAGTAGAATATGTTTTTTTATACGCGCTGAAGAGTTTATGGCTATGTTTAATATTACTGCTACACAAACCAAGCACTAATATATGATCGCTAAAATGAAATTAGGTTACATTACGATATCTCAATAACCTTGACATATGTTCTTAATCCATATTCGTAAACCATATTCTTATTTAATTTTATATAAAATCCATTATATATATAACTGCAAGTTTTGACAATTGTGTATATACGCACTACATTTAAATATCTTAAAATTAATAATTGGAACGAATGCAACTCTGTAGAAATTTGGCGGTGACAGTTGCATGAATTCGAAACAAAACAATATTGTCAAACGGCGATCTTAATTATCATTTAAATAATATTATAGTAACAATCACTATAAATAAAATGTTGCAACGCAAATCTTTTAATAGCATTTTTAAGGATCAAAAGTATAAATCGTGTAAAACCAACAAAAGCAGCGAGGAAGACGATTTTACTATATCGGATTGTAGCAGTGATGCAGACGCACACAAAAAGAGTTTATCACAAGAATCCAATCGTATTTCCAATACAAGCGATGGTGAAAACGATTGCAATAAATCTTCGAATTTCTGCAGCTATAATACTCCAAGAGCAAAACGCTTTAAAATACAACAATTAAGTGCAAGAAAAAAGCCTTTACCGCATATAAAAATTATTAAGAAAGCAAAAGAAAGTGAAGATGTTATACCCATAAAAGAAAAAAAAATTTTATGTGCCAACAACACAATAAATAAATTATCAACAACTTCTAAGAATGAAACTCCATTTAAAAAGGTACAAAAACTCTTTGCACAAACACAGAGACCAAGTAATTTGCAAAGCGCACTGCTGTCACAACACAAATCGCCTGCCACATCGGAGGATGATGAAGATTTAATTAATTGGTCTTCCTCTGACAGTAATTCAAACTGTTCTGATTCCAGAAATACTTCTATATCAATTGAAACACCAACCACTTCATCACAGAAATCAAATCCACCCAGTGAATTAGATTTGCTGTTAGCACTCATTGAACGTGAGAATAACTCCAAACAACAGCAATCATCAAAAACGAAGTCGAAGTCTTCAAAGCGTTGCCGTAAAGGCGGTTATTTGCAGCAATTATTTAACACTCTCGATACAGCGAAAACAGATAAAAAATTCTTAGAGCATGACAAAAAATTTGGACTACGATGTGGAACGGAATTGCAAATTGTAGAATTAGAATCTTCATTTGGTGTTAATTTAGCTAAGGTTAAATTTGTTGATGAGTATCAGGAAGATGGAAAATGCTTATATGTTGTTTTAGACGAAAATGAAGCAAAGAAAGTGAAGCCAGGTAGTAATGTGGAAGCATTTTTTGATGTTGATATTGAACCCTATGAAATTACCGACACAACAGAGAAAAAAGTTGTTTTTATTCAACCTCATAAAATATTATTATTGCAATAGCAATTCGTACAGTTTTTAAGGTAAGCATTTGAAATTATTTAAATCGTCAGTTTATTTTAAATTCATTTTTACTTTATTATTTAGTTGGATACGTCGGAATCAAGATTCGTATTGTTGGGTACGAGAACGTGAAAGCGTTCATCATTACTTGAGATCTCCTCACTTAACACTTAAACTTTACTTTTGGGTAAACCTATTATCGATTAAGTTTTAAAGCAATATATCCAAATAATGCTTTACATATTTGATTTGAATATAATTCATATCAAAAAAAAAAGTGAAATCTAAGAAGTAATATAATAGGAGCAGGAAATTCTCATTCCAGTTATCAACGAGACTACATATGTAAACCTTATTTATATTTTTTTTTAGTTTTCCTGATTCTGATATTATAAAATAATTTGTTCACTAGAATCTAAAATGAACATCATTAGACGATGTGTAAAGGATATCGACTATTTGAACGAATATTGAAATAAGCTTAGACATTTTTTATACATTATGTTATTACGTCAAGTACATCGTTCAAAATGTAAGTAATAGATTTTTTTAAATATTTATTAAATATAAAATATAAAAAATGTTAAATTTTTTGATTTATTTTTGATTTATATTTCAAGTATTTAACTTAAGAAATAATTTTTTAAGAAATAAGTTGTATATATTATTGTAGTTTTTATATATAATAACTATATTTACATAAGTATTCTAATACAATATTAAGTAATTTCATTAAATGATCAATAATTTAAGCGATTAACAAACAAACAAATTTTTCAAAAATATATTTAACTTAGATGTGCAAATTTTTATGTAAATATATTTAAATAAGTTCTCTATTGATATAATATTAAGTTATTTTATTAAGTGATTAATAATTAAAGTAATTAATAAATATAGTATTTTTTTAATTGTTAAAAGAAAAATTTGATATACATATCTGTAGATATATAGATATGTCACCATACCCCCATCTCCAGAAACCACCTCACTTACTTGCATGAGTGGGGTGTGTTAATTTCCAACATTTTCTGAAATACGGAATGTCCAAAAAATGGACTCGAAGATAATATCTGAATTAAGCTATTTGGATATTTAGGGATATGTTTTTGAAACATTGCGAGTTTCTTGATAAATTTTTATAGGTAGCCTTTTATCGGTTAAAATTGAAAAGGAATTATCCTTTCCCTCCTTTGCTTTCCAATTCGATTTCTTTTATTTCTTGAATCAACGAATCAGCGGAGGACTTTACTGAAGTTTACAGGAAACATAGGGTGTTTCCTGTAAACTTCAGTAAATGAGCTGTTGATTTTAAAAGTGCCGCAAAGACATTTTATCTAAGTTTCGCTTATTATGGATAGTTAATGAAATTAGTAGTTAATAATAAATAATGATAATTATAATAATTCTGATTATAGGATATAATTCGTATGTTCCATTTTTAAATTAATTTTTTAATCAAGTGAATTTTTTAACACCGAGCTAAAAACAAGTACATATAGAGTTTCATGTCAATTAAGTTGTACGAAATAGATGTTGGGACTAAATTTTACACAAAAACCAAATACATTTAATTTAATAAATTAAAATTTAGGATTTTTTTAATTTTTGTTGTTTGTTCACCTACAATGAATATAGACGATAATATAAAGGGGATGACGCAGATATAGTTTTAGTAATATTAATTTATGTTAGATCGCAATCCTGATGATGACTCTCAAGAAAATATAGTTTAATAAGAAATATTAAACGTTGAATTATTTAACAAAAAAGGGACCTATAGCCGAGTTAAAAGAAATATATAAAAAACCATCATTTACAATAATTTTACTTGGCGCATTATTTTTGAATATAACGCATAAACCACAGCTATACAAATTTACTTAACTACTGTAAATTGATGCTTTCTCTCATTCAAACAATATTGTTTTTAAAAAGCAATTTTATTTTATTATATTAAAACATATTTACTTTTATTTGTTTAAAAAATAAAATGTTTATATTAACACAATATGTAATAAAATATTGGGTGAACTAATTTTTAATATTTTCAACCTCAAAGGTTCATAAAAAGAATGAAACTTGAAAACTTTAGTAGTTCTCCAGTACATAATTTCACTCGATAAATTTATGAGCTCAAAAGCATGATTACTGGCATTTTCTATAGATTGTAGTATTGTTTAACTTATCTATAATTTGCTCAATTTCTTTAAACAAATATACGCACAAATGTAGATAAAGCACGCAAAATATTTTTGAATGATTTGGTATTTAGTTCAATACGATTTCTCGTTCTTTAAATATACTCGAATAGATAGATAATTGCACTTGTGTGTTATCAATAATATAAGTAGCATTAAAATAGTTTTTAAATAAATAAATTATTACTTGTGAGTTGCTAACAACGTCAACGTCAACGTCAACAAAATGTACTTCAACTATTTAAACGCTTGTGAAAATGTATTTACAAATCTTGTTAAATTAGACTAATTTTTATTAATTACTTCTAACAAGTGAAAAACTATGTTAAATTATATAAATTGAAAAATATTCGTTTATGTTTAGTGGAGCATAGTTACGATATAAGAACATACATTTCAGTTAGTTCTTATCAGTGCTTAGCAAAAATAGATACATTAGACACAAGTTAGTTAAAAAAAAAACAAAAAAAAAATTATGAATTCTATTTTTGTTTGAAGGATAATATATTAACAGTTCCTCTCTGTTTTAACATAAAATGTGAAAATAATAATTGTTATTTTGTAACTGCCAAATACAAAACATTGGGAGAGCGCATGTGCCACAATTCCATACATTTCAACCGACCGACCGACCGACCGACCTCCCGACCACCGGGCCACCCAATAAATAACAACATTCTGGAAATACACAAAGTTTACAAATGTCATGTGAATGAAACGTTACGTCCTCTTCGAGCAGACCAGACAACTGGCATGGAAATGTCATATGGATATTCCTTTACAACCGCGCTCACAACTCACCCCAAAATAATTTTTCCCCTAAAGCGACGGTCTTAGTGGAAAGCTACGCTCACGCATAACAGCACATAGAACACAGCACACAGCATAAGTAGCGAGGCTTCCAGTGAAGACAGAGAAAAAAGTCATCAGCTCTGAATCGATAAGTAAGGAAAATCAAAATTTTCTTGCTGCGAAAACGTTGTGGTGTTGTGTGAAAATACGGCGAAAGACCGAATTTTGTGAAACAAATGTGTTAATAATTATTAAATATTATAAACAAAAAAATAATCTATGTTGGAAATGTCTAAGAAAAGTGTTAGCAATATTTTAAATATTTAAAAAAAATCACAAAAGTGCAAAAACAAAATATACCAAAAAAAAAAATCATTTATGAAATATCTTCTCCTCCTTACTGAAACGCTACTCAATAATTGATTCATTGGAAACAGTGCTTTTTGAATGCTTCTGGCTTTTATTAAACACAACCAAATAATATCAATTCATAGTTCTTCATATTCCAAAATATATTAACTTAACTGATTTACTGGCAAATAAATTTTAGCTGAAAGCATTCGTATGCATAATAAGCCTTTCAGAGCCCTTCCTCTTTTCATATTACATAAGTCGTATATCCTTTTTATGCTTGCACTAAATTACTCATTTTATTCAGTATTTTTCTATTTTCGTAAGCTTTAAGCCATCAATTGATAACATATAAAAAATAACTGTCTTCTCATTACCACCTATTAACACCTATTACCACCTATTACCACCTATTACTTCCTATTGATTTGTTGTATTTAATGAAATCAGTAAATATTTTTTTATAGATTCGCTAACGGCATCAGTATCAGTATCAGTATTAGTGAAATTTTAATTTAAAGAATTGGAAGAAAAATTGTGCTTAATTGTTTCGAAATATTTGCTAAATAATCTCAAGTTGTTGCCTGCAAACTAAAATCCTACAGCTTCACAATGCAGCCCCCACCACGTAAGGTAAGTAATCCACAACATTTTAAAACCCATCAAGTGTCTATTCGTATTTCACCCACGACCAAATTTGTGTACCAGTCAAAATCCTTGGCGAAAGTAGGAAAAATACCTACTTCTGGTTCAATTTAAAAATAAATATTGATACCAAAATCTCTCCTGTGTGCCAAAAATAATCCATCTTTTGTTCAATCCAAACACAAAATAATTTTAAATTCAAAACTTTTCAAAAAAAATTAATCTTTTATATCCTCGCAGATATAAGGCGATATAATTTTGGTTAGGTTATTTTTAGAAATACAATATTAAGGGAAAGTGGAGTCCTCTGTCATAACATTGGTGGAGTTGTCATTTCATTGAAACTGTGTTATTGTTTGTTTGGTTGTTGCTAATGTTACACTTGGGAGAGTCCCAGTTTTTTACCTGAGCTATTAGGCATATCCGAAAATAACTGACAAGTTTTGTATTTATGTTATATTTTAATTATCCATAATAAGAGTAAAATATAACTTATCTAATATGCCAAAAATCGGAGGCTGTTAGTTAAAAGATTGTTTTCGATTTTTAGTTTTTAGTAATCAAATACAAATATATCCTGTGTGCTTTTATTCCGGGAGTAAAATTGCAATACGTTTGCACATGTAGGGCTCGCATGTGCAAATGACATCGAGGAAGAGATTTATAAATGAAGGACTGTATAATCAATACAGCGGGTACATGTTCCGGTATTTATAGAGCTGAATCTTAATTTTAAGAAATGTATAAAATTCGGAATGACTTATATAGTTTAGTCAGTTAAGTTTGTCATTATTCAAAATAAAAAAATCTGTTTTAATTATTTAAGAGGTTTTTCAAAAAGTAGTTAACTACAACAATCGGAATTCTTTTTATATTATTTTAATTAATTAACTCTTTAGCCGACAATACAGCTGTTTCTAGTCATGCCAAATATCCATCATCAGTGGTCTTGGAAATAATTCTTGTATCTAATTATTTGTAAATAATTTTTTGAGACTGCAGGTACTAGGGATTGAAGTTGCGCTCAGAGTTAGCATTCATTAGTCAACTGACTCAAATCAATTTAATTATTTATAAAATGAATAAACTAGGTATTGGTTTTTAGTGGATCGGAACACTGCCCCCACTATGCTTGATGTAATAAGCCATAGTACTCCGAATGTGTGTATTCGTCTGACGCAGTACTTTTATACATATATCTAGAGTAGTTAGTGTTCATCTAATATCCAAGTTTCTGAAGATTTTAGGAACAATTTTTCTTCTAAATAGTTCTAGTGATATTTTATTATTCTCTAATAACTTAAAAAATCTGCACTATTTAAAGCATGGTTAGAAAGAGCAATCTATAAAACCTAATTCTTGTCGGTCGGGGTCGAAGTCGAGCTATACATTACAATTGCCTGTTGTGCTCTTAGCAGCACCTATAAGTAATATTATAGATAAAATAGCCGAGATATACCTCATTTTGCCTAATTGATGCAAGCATTTGGATTCACTTCAAGAATTTGAAAAGTCGTTTATTTGAATTTTGTTTAAGAATATATTAAAAACTTTTTAATACATATAGTTCAGTGGTGTATGTAAATACAAGGGATGGGGTTCAAACCCTTTAGGATATATCGAAACATTTTACCCCGTATATTATTTCTTTCTATTAAATGATTTCATACACAATTTCAACTAAATGAGTTTTTGTGTACATCTATAATATATTCCTAGTATATAAAATTATGAGGTAAATATTATTATCTTCCTGAACTTAGGCGTTGCCAAGTAACTCGAAAGAGGGGAGAGGGATCCACATACTAATTTTGATAAAAATTTTTTTAGTGTTCTGAACATAAATGTTTGTTTGTACATCACACATTTTGGCGATAAGTTAGTTGAATGTAAGACCAAAGAAGAGGTTCTTTGGTATAAGTGTCCATATAACTTTTTGTCTCTTTTGTCTGATCTGGTTTCTCGAATTATTGACTTTAATCACTTAGAGTTTTTTATGTGGGTAATTATATTTATAACCCACTTAGTAACAGTTATTCAGTGGTATTCATTGTGGTATTCATTGTCCTGTAGGACCTGTGATAATAATATTACAGTACCATTAAGTTGTATTATATATTCGCTGTATAATAATAAATGCTAGAACTTCTTTAAATAAATTTTTAAGAAACCTTATATAACGTTCTATACACTACTTTTCAATGATTCCCTCTGATGTTTAGCGGAATATATTGCTCTATGGAGCCTGTATTCATAATAATTATTTTACATGAAATTGATAGATTATTTACCATAGTTAGAATGATTCGATTTAGGTCAAATATGTACCGTTTTGTGAGATAACTTATTGTCATTTTGAGGTTTATAATGAAGGTAACTACTAATATTAATATAATATATCATTTAAAGTTATATTGGTTTTATGATAATAAATGCTTGTTAGTTCAAGAAACTAGTTATTCTTCTAATTTTGTAGACATTCTAATATTTCAGATAGAATAATATATTCAAACCTTTCAAGACTCCAAAATTTATTTTTAATAATTATGATACATGATGTATTGTCTAAAATATTTGCTTAAAGATTAAAAAATGCTTAAAGAAATCTCATCATTAATTGATTTAAGGATAACTAACTTCATGATTTTCATAATTCTTTTCATTTTGTATCAGTTCGATTATCCATACCTATATGTATATCGTATATATCGTTCGTTAGTTATTAAAGTCCAAGGTAAGCTAATTTTTTTTAAATATTTTCACTCTCTTCATCACTCAGAATGCTTCATCTATTCCGCTCGCTTACCTAACTTGGATTTCTTTAGAAATATCTATTTGTAATGCGTATCTCTTTAATATTTCGATCTACTAAGCACTGCATACAAAAGCTAATAAATATTATTAATAAGCATTTATAATAAGAGTATTTGTTGAAAAATTTTATTCACTTAATATATAATATTATTTTTCACCTTCACCTTTACCGATATATTTTTGTTTTCCCTTAAATAGGGCAACTATGTTAAATTCTTAAAGAACTTACATACGGAGCAAGTGGCTAAGTTGCAATTAAAGAACCAACATGAATGCGATCTGCTCGAGGATATACGGCAGTTCACAATCAAGAGGTCGGCCATTGAGAAGTCCTACAGTGATGCCTTGTTAAAAATTTCATCTCAGTATTTAAATAAAAAAATACCAAATATACCGGATATTAAAATGGAAGGCATGGAGGAGCGATGGTATGTATAAGGATTCGTTATGCGAATATATATTTTTTATTTGCATTTTATCTATTTTGTTTAAATTTACATTGTAACATAATGCAGGATAAATTGCAGTCGTAATGTTATTCATTTGAGTGTATGTTGGGGGCACATCACAGTGACCTTGTCAAACAGCCACACTCTGCTTTGAATCCTTTTAAGGACATTTATTGCATATTTATACGCAAAACGCATTTATGGCCATTAAGATGAAATGAATATGTTTGGTAACTGGTGCAAGGTTCACTTCTGAACCTTGAGTCATAAAAAAACCATTATTTTGCTTGAAACATGCGGACTTTAAAAAATATTTAAATTTTATATGTTGCCATAGATGCAAATTACAGTACCTATATTTAATATATTATTTATACAGTATATATTACAGTGTCTTAGTAAGGAGGATTTGATTCTTAATTTATTAAAAGTTTATCTTTCATCAAAATATAATATCAAAATAATTTTAATTAAGTTTAAAAATATAATAATTTATTTTTATGTTTCAAAAAATGTCAGATATAAGGTGTCACTTTTTAACTTTTGGATAGTACTTCATAAAGCAAATATAAACAAATATTTAGCATTATCGATCAATATTAATATCTTGAATAAGTGCTGAGTGACTAAATCTACTACAAAATATTACTTTCTTTAAAGTTTAGTGTTTAAGATAGATATCTCTGATTTATCAGTTTTAGACGCTTTAATTTGTGGGTATCCAGAGTGCTAACATCAGTTATTATTATGTTTCGTGAATTTGCACTACAAACTTAGGGATCTATTGTGCCCGCTACATGGGCTTAAAGTGTTTCTCTAAGTTCAACTTCTTTTATAAATTGTAGTCTTAAATCTTTTGCAAAGTTAATTTCTTCATTCGATGTGAGATGTCCATATAGGCACTTTTTTCGTTTATGTATTTGTTGAAGGGAAAATTCTGGCACGTGTTTTGAGGTTTTCCTCTTTCCTATAAAATCTATAGCTTTATTGTAGTAAGCTCTCAGTTTTGTTAGATGATAGTTAAGTTAAAGTTTTTATTCAGATATTATTTTTTTCAATAACGTATATAAACAGCTATATTAAATTTCACCTTTATAGAAGAGTGGAATAAAAGATTGAAACAATATATATTTTTCAATCATCCATTGATAAGTTAATTTATTTTTTTCTTCATAAACAGCACAAAATCTCATTAAGATTTGATGTCGTAATACCATTCATATAGTGTTGTTGATGACAACTTTCTGAAAGATTGAATATTTCATTTAAAGACGCAGCGGTAGATAAGAATGAACGGGGCACTAGCTCCCACTTGAGCAAAGCACAGTGGCCATGATTGATCTTTTGTGTTACAACAGACCCTAACCGAACAGAAGACATTCCGCCTTCCGAATGAAGGCTAAAATGTCGACCGTTGAGGACTTCCTAATGTCGGAAGGTGAGAACAGTTCCCAACCCAGTGACCTCCTCCTGACCCAGATCAAGGCTGGGCAGTCACACAGTATGTGGCTGAATGTTTCCTCTGCTTCTAAGCAGAGTCTACACTCTATCTCTTCGGACAGATCCATTTTATTGAGGTGGTAACGTAGTCCGTGGTGACCCGTTAGATATCCCACCAGCAAGCTCAATTCTGTTCTGCTGAAGAAGGATATCTTATTATAACTATAGGGGTGAACCAGCTCCTTAGCCTAGACGCAGCGGCAAGGATAAGCATTTGTGCAATGTAGGTTAAAATCTTATTTTCTATAAAATATTGGTCAACCACAGAGCCTCTCTTTGAAGAGAATCTTCGCGTAGTGAATGATATAAAAACCTCTGAGCTTAATATTACCATAAGGGAATTTCTAGGATTAGCGTGTTATTCATAACTACCAATAACCTAGTGATTTGTTGTTTCATACAACTGAAGTCTACATTGTAATGATTTTAGTTGCTAAATTTCTATCATAAAAGTGATCTTACTGTAGGTTGAGTTAGAAGCATGCACATTTTTTATTCAATTGCAAATGGCGATCAGATAAAACTAACTAATATCTTAGACCAGGGCTGTCCAAAGTACAGCCCGGGGGCGTCATGCGGTCCGTGTCTGATGTTTGTGAGGCCCGCCACATGTTTTTAATACACAATAATTTGTATTGGCCCGCGATCCCATCTGGCTGGACAGCCTTGTTTTAGACTATCGATTCTAATGACTGAACCAAATCAGCTCATAAATTTATTCCGTACACAACTAGAATTAGAATTGCAATTTCCATGAGTTAATATGTGTGTGACGGGTTAAGTATATCAGACTATCAAATCCCAGATTATTCCTAGCATCGAAACTAACCTTACTTAATCTTATTAGTGTTCTTTCTTCATTTAATAGTTTATTAGTGTATTAACACTTATTAGTGATAAGTATGGTGATTAAATACTATAATCTTTTAAGGGGCGTTTAATAAATTTCTGCTTCAAATTTAAAAAATTATTTTATTCTTTTTTTTTGTTTTTTCTCAATAGGAACATGTGGAGTGTCTGGCGCACAGTGTTGGAAGAGAATGAGAAATTAGCACGTGCACGTTTGGCTGCTATCGAAGTGTTTCAACAGCAAATAGCAGACGAGGCTAAAGTTCTGCGTGACTACAAATTGGCCATATCCAAAAAATCGCTTTCCCAAATTGTAAATATACAAAAGGAACTACATTTAAGCGTCGGCGATGTAGACAAAACAAAGAAGCAGTACTTTGATGAGGAACATTGCGCACATGACGTGCGTGACAAAGCGCGTGATATCGAAGAAAAACTGAAGAAGAAAAAAGGTTCGTTCTTCCAATCTATTACCTCATTGCAAAAGAATAGCGCACGTGTAACCTCACGGAAAGAGCTGCTAGAAGAAAAATCGACTGGTGCTCGAAACGATTATATACTCAGTTTGGCTGCAGCCAATGCACATCAAAATCGTTACTTTACAGTTGATTTACAGACCACCATGACCACAATGGAGAACTATGTCTTCGAACGTGTTGCTGAGTACTTAACCTTGATGGGACGCACCGAATTACTAACTTGTTCAGCAACACAGAACTCTTTCGGCAAAATACGTGATCAAGCACAACAACTCACACGCGAATATAATTTGCAATGCTGCTACTTATTCTATCCGGTACTTAAACAGCATATACAGTACGATTTTGAACCATGCGACAATGATCCTGTACATAAAGTAACAGCTGAACATGAATCGGCTACAGAGACACTCACTAAAGAGGCTAAAAATCTGGCTGGTCGAGTAGTTAAAGAAAATATGTCAATAAGAGAACAAGCCAAAAAATTGGCCATTTGTGTATCTTTGCGTGATTCAGGACAACGCTCAGATCCCAATGATCCTAATGGGCCTGATTTAGATACAAAAATTGAAGATTATAGGGATTCGATACGTCGATCAGAGACTGAGAAAGCTAAGGCTGAAGCTTGCTTGCAATGCTTACGTGAAGGTGGTATAAATGTAGATGAGTGGGTGCAGGAGGCTGAAATTATGGGTGTACAGGAGCTAACCAGATCAGCAAGTTCCATATCAATGCGTACAGATGCGTCAGGACAAGGCGTAAGTCAATTTATTATTGAACGATTTGCCAATAGTGTATAAATTTTATTTTCGCAGGAAAATCCCAGTTCCGATTCGTTCTATGATAGCGACAAAGAAGACAATGCTGCTGTTGCCCAGCCGACTGCAGCCAAGCCTAAAGAGGTGAAACAACTATCACGAGACAGAACTTTCAGTGATAGTGATGAAGGTAATATTATCTTTAGAAAAAACATTAATTCAGAAACAGTTGTGGGGATAATACTTCAATAATACTTCGTTTTCAAAATAAGAAAAGAGAAAGGAAATTATTTTTGAGATTTTAATAGTGATCTTTATATATCTGTATAAGATTTAAAAAAAATTTCAGGATACATATTTTAATATAGGAACATAGACTGTTCTATAAAAAAGTGTTTACAAAATTAAATTGTTTATTAGAAACTTTATATGACTTATAACTGAAAGGATATGCTAGTATATATGTTAAATAATCAATTCTTCAGAGTATTTTAACGTATTCTGAAGTCACAACTATAGTATCTCATCTGGATGTAGTATGAATTTAATGAGTCTATCAATCAGAATTATTGAATATACTTTACAATAGAATCCAGTAGATTATTCGAAAAAATTATTCCAGAATACCAGTTCTCTTTACATGATTTTTATGATTTCGATAAATTTTTCTATAAGAACTTAACATATCATTAGTTTCTTAAAATATCGGTATTATGCATCGATGATACTAATAAATATAAATTACACAATGACATATTAATTAATTATTATAAATTTATTTTTTATTATAATCAAATGTATAATTAAAACGAAATATATTTATTGCAGAGCCTGAAGAGCGGGTACCAGAACCGATAAGTTCCGTGCCAATGATGGCAGCCAATACTGGTTGGGATGATCCAACAGAAGTAAATTGGGGAAATGAAGAAGAAGAAGAAAAAGAAGAACCTATTGTACCAGAACCAAAAGAAGCTATATTCAAATGCACTGCTCTATACAGCTACACCGTAAGTGTGAAAATCATTGTTTTTTTTCAAATTCTTTGAAATTAATTAATGCTTTTAATAGGCTCAAAATCCTGATGAGTTAACTATAGTCGAAAATGAACAACTTGAGGTGATTGGCGAAGGTGACGGTGATGGTTGGTTGCGTGCACGTAATTACCGTGGCGAAGAGGGTTATGTACCGCACAATTACTTAGACATCGAGCAGGACACTGGAGTAAATGGTAGTTCATCAAATCAATTGCGTTCACAAATTTCATTTTCATCTGTCGATTATACTGTTGACAATGAAGATCAAACTGTAGATTCAATGCAGTCTCCTGACCAAGTGTCCGTTATAATGGCGCCACAGAAGAAGAAATCCGATGTGCTATATTGTATTGCTTTATATGATTATGATGCTACAGCTGAAGATGAGTTAACCTTTGAGGAAGGTCAAATCATAAAGATTGTCACTAAAACAGCACATGGTGTAGATGATGGGTGGTGGGAAGGTGAATTGGATGGTAAATTTGGTAACTTCCCATCGTTAGTAGTAGAAGAATGTGATGAAAATGGAGAACCTTTTTCTGAGGGTGATGATGAAGAATCACCACCACCAACAGCTGCACCTAGTTTTGCGCTTCCACCTGCACCCGAATTACCACCAGAATATGCACACGAACTAACTGATGATCTTTTCGCATCCCAAGATACTGCTGGTTAGTTTTAATAAAATCAATTATATATTACAGAAAGGTTCTAAAATTTATAACTCTTTTTTATATAATTTATTGTAGATGACGATAGTGGTTATATACCAAATGGTACAGTACCTAGTATGCCTCCGCCAGGTAATTTAAAAAATTTGAATTCGATGTGTATTTTTGTTTTTCTTTGTCTTTAAAATACTCCTTTAGTATTTCTACCAATATTTTATTTAATTATATATAAAAATATGTATATTCCTGCTTCTATATCTCTAGAGGTAAAATCCAACAAACCCAACCAAAAAGTGTGCTACAATTTCCAAATCTACCTACTTACGTATTTCATACAAAAAAAAAAAACAAAACGATTTCTTCTTTCAAAATCTATAATAAAATGAATTTAAAAATTATATATAATTATTCTTTTTTTAAATTTATTAAAAAAATAGTAAATGTTGTAAGGCTTTAAACACTTTTTGTGTGTTTGTATATGTGTATCTGTGTATTTTACAGCTTATTTATTTGCAGCTACTTGAAAAATTTTAAAATGGCACCGCATTTGATCAATTTATTTTCTTAAAAACTTTAAAAGATATTTATTTTTATGCAATGATTGTATTTTTATGTAAAATTCTGTATAACTTCTATATTTTTTTCTATATACATATACTTTATATATTTACCGACTCAAAGGGCTTAGTAAAGCAACTACTAAGAAGGGTAAATTACCTTATTGAATAAGGATAAGATATATTTTATAATAAATTTTTCTACTAAGTAGGTTTTTTTATTTTTATTTATTTTATATTATTAAAAGTATCGAAAAAAAAATTCAAAAATTTCTATATGATAAGTGTAAGATATATGTCTTACATTAACATATTTAAATAATATATATATAAAAAAAATATTTACAAAATTAGTATAAAATTTTGTTTCGTACATTAAGAAATATTTTTTATTGTAAATAAAAAAGCCAGTTGATTTATAACAAAAATTTACTAATTTCTATATAATATTAATTAATTCAAATAATTCTATAATAGTAGATTAGTACAATTCTCTATTATTCTATTCTGTGTTTATGTATGGAACGTTTTTTGTAGTTAAAATTATAAATATATATATAACCTCTGATTTATCTATATATATTGTAATATTAGTCATATATTCATTCATGCTTTTACAAATACTAGCAAAAGCTTGCTTCGGGTTTCATTTAAAATTGAAATAAAACTATTAAAAATTTGATTTATATATCATATAATATCTGAACTATATTAAATTAATATTTAATAAAAATGAACTTCTTTTAGTATTTTCTATGATATTCTTACTTTGTCAGGGAGTTATCTGCTTAATTATCTCACAATACTAATAAAAAGATATCTCTTAAACTCTTGAGAGTTTACTATATTTAAAATAGTGCAATAATATTATTGCTTAAATATAGAATAATAAATAATTTACTCAAGAATATCAAAAAATTTAAATATTAAAATCATAATTATATAGAAACCTTCAGGTGTATCAGTATTTAGGCTATTACTTCCTTACTTAAGTAAGGATTGTTAGGTTAAAAAAATAATTCCAAATGAGATGTGGTTAGTTTTTCATAAGTTTTTTTTAAATACGAAAGATATATTGTCTTGTTCGATATGGAACATAGATTATATTCTTTTACCATTAGCTCACTACTCTTCAATTTTATTTAAAATTTCAAAATTTCTTTAAAAAAAGTAGCATTATACTATATTAATAGTTTTCTTTAATATAGTAAGATTTAATAATTGTATATCTAAAAATGAAAACACGTATATACGTATTTTTCTAAATTATAATTCATTATATACATTCATTTTTTTTTAATACAATAATGAATAATAAATGTGTATCCAAAATTATAATACGTGTATACATATATTTCCTATTTTTTTAAATAATCGTATTTTATTATTATTGTTATTTGAACGATGTACAAAATTTTATTTAATTTTTTGAAATTCCATTAAAAATAAATAAATTATTTTGCTATTCAATACTTGAAAAGCAAAAAGAAGCACGAATTTAACCTCCAAATATTTTGAAGATAATGAAGCATGTCCACGGGCGCAGAACCTATGTCTGTTTGTAATTAGAATCTTAATTTATATTTAAATGTATTTATATATATATATATATATTTTCATATATATACACTTATATATATATATAATTTTTTAAATATATATATTTATGTATGTATAGATCTATATAAACATATATGGTATATATATAAATATTTTTATACATATATTTTTTTTTTTGATATATATAAGTATTTAATTTTGAAATTTCACTGGTGTAAAAATTTAATATTTTTTCCGTAGTTAGCAAAGTTAAATTTTCCTTGTTCTTTGCTCCTGCTTATATTTTTCACCGCTAAATTTTCTTATAATCCAATTATTTTTATTTAGTTAACATAAATAATAATAAAAATTTATTTCTTAATTTAATGCGTTCAGTGTTCATACAAGAACCTGGAATGGAGGTAAATAATAATCAGAATTTCATAAAAACAACATATTTTTATATTAAAAGTATATAAAAACATATAAAGAGTACCTATATATCAAAAAAGTATAAGTAATTACTATATAAAACATTTTTGATTTTTTATTTTTGTTATTTATTTTTAAATATTTATTAGTTTGTGTTTTATTAGTTAATATTAGTTAATTAGTTAAGATTTAATATAAAATATTATATAAAAATGACGTCATAATACAAGTTTCATTATTTACTTATAATTTGTCGTAGAAAAAGGTTTAATATATATTCTTATTACTCTCTTTGCTTCTTTATTTTTATTTTTTTTAAAGAATATATTTTATTATATATATTTTATATTTTATTATATTTTAAAGAAATATTTTTCTCATTATTATTAATGATTAATGATTTTTATACTTTATTAATTAATATTCTTTTACAGTTATTATTCTTGTTATTATTTTTCTTAATTATTTAAAAATTTAAATATTTCTGTTTATAAAAAAATAAATTTCAATATTATTGTTATTTATTTCATTACTATTATTATTATTATTATTATTATTATTTCGAATAAATTTAAAAACATAATCATACTGGGTGATACAACAATCAAATATCCTGAAAACATAAAATGAAAAACCTTATATATTTGAAATTATTTTTATTATTTTAAGAAATGAAAGGAATGATATTTTTTTATATTATAGCTTTTATGATTATTATTATTAATACTGTTAATTTTTAAAAACCATTTTTATAGTTATTGGTTTTAGACTATATAACATATAGGTATTAATGGAACTATTGAAATATGTATATAGTGTTCTTAATATTGATTACTTTATTCTTGAATTATAATTTATTTTATTTCCCAAAAATTTTGTTATTGTTTATATTAGGAAGTTAATAGTTTAATATTTTTTTTAATATGTTGTTAATATTATATGTATACTTTTTTATAATATTTCATAAAATGTAACATTATTTTACTTAATTTTACAATATTACAAATGTGAATATATTTATTGTTATTGAAATTATTGTAAAATTTTTTGTAATTATTACAATTACTCAAACGGTATGCCTTTATATAAAATTTTATTAGAACTAGTTATATTACTTAAATATCTTTGTTCATATCATTTTAATACATCATTTATATACATATTTATATATTTCACATAGCAGGAGAGAAATGTTATAATTATAAAAAATATTATATACTCACATTGTATTTATTTATATTAAATTTCTCTATATATTCTTTAGGACGATACCAGCGACGATGGTAGGCCACCGCCATCGATGCCACCACCAGCCTTGAACGCAGGAAATAAGGATGGAAATGCACATAATTTAGGTATGGCACAAATTATTGTTACCGCTGCAACCCCAATGGTTGAAGACGGTACAGATAAATCTTTCCCTCCGGTAGAAAACAGAGACGATGGTGCTGTTTCAGATGCTTCATCAAGCGTGAAGGCTGCTAACGAAAAGGTAGATAAAAAACAGGAATCAACACCAGTACAAAAACAACAAAAACCACAGCAGCAGCAGCAGCAGCAGCAGCAAAATGCCGATGAAAATGAAAATCATGAAGGTAGGAATGCGACCACACCATCCGTAACTATAACTTTAACTACGTCCAATTCAGAGGACCAAAATTCATCAGATCAGGAGCCTGAATCAGAAGTGCAGCCATTAGAGGAGGCTGAAGATCCATTTAATGAAAAGGCGAATGCTGCAAGTGCTGGTACAGATGCTAATGATGGATTCGGAGCAAATTTTGAAGCAAACTTTGATGATGCATTTTCTGGCGCACAAAATGCTGTTGAAGCAGTTGAAGAGGTTAATGCACCTAAACAAGTAGTGGGTGGACGAGCAAGCATACCAGAGGAATTGGACTCAAATCAATTAGCGCGATTACAGAATCTAAAAGAGTCGAATGCTTAGAATTAAGTTTCTTTATATAAATGCTTAGAATCTTAAATTAAAAACATATAACAAATCATTTGGTCATCCGTTAGAAAAATTTATCTGCTGATTATTAATGATGAATGGAGCATAACTCCAGCAGGGAAGATAACAATAATAATTATAAAACAACGATTGGTTTTGATAATCATTAACATAATTACATTACAGTATTTAAAAAAAGAGGATAAAGTGCTGAAATTCATATTACATATTTAAATTGGCGTTAATATTATTTATTACTAAACAGCTTTTTATAAAATCTTATAGAAGAACACGCCTGAAAGATACTTAATTAGTATTCCGATTTTTTTCATTGATGTGACTAATGATATTAAATTCTTGTTAGTTTAATTATATTAGTCTCCGCCCACATATATGCACTTTTACTGCCCTGTATAATATAAAAAATTCTTCGGCTCCGGCCTTTGAATACTCTATAATATATATTGTGGTATATTCATATACATAATAACAACTTACTCATCTGAAAGTTTCATCATATATAAATATCCAACTGCACCATTATTTAGTATATTAAAATATATTTAACAATACTATCTTAGGGAAATGTTATATATAAAAAGACATCCTTTCAATTATATACTCATGCTAATCTTATGTACTGTATATACATAAAACAAAATATAAAAATTAAAATTAATAAATATGAGTTATTCTGTTCTGTAAGCTTTAAAGACTTTTGTTTAAGATACATTGTGTAATACCGCAAAATCAGTCTAATCTGTCAATCTGTTTCGGTTTATATTAAGTGCATATGTAGAAAATAATAGTGAATTCTTATATACTTAGTTCTAGAGAGATATTGTACAAGTAAGAAATATTGAGTGCATTAAGTCAAGTTTACTTTTAGTGTGCTCTAGATCTGACTTAAGGGCTAAGTTTCTGGGCTTTAATAAGCCCAGATATATTTGTTAGAAACTCTAAAACTATCTGAAGATATTTTCTAAAATAGCAATATCTTATTTATATTATCAAATTTGTTTGTTTAAAAAGTTTTTAAATTTGTTTATAATATTTATTAAAAAAGTAATGTGTAAACTATATATTAAAGTTGTTAAGTTAGTTAATATATTTCAAATTTAAAGCTAAAACATTCCAAACAGTAACCTTATGAGGCTCTTATAGTAAATCTCTGCCAATAATTATAAATAATTAATAAAATTCAACTAAAGTAAATATGAAATAATTAACATATAGTAAGGGAATGTGAATGAGATTTAAATGTGTTGAATAAATTGCAAAATGTTGACTCAAATGTATCTCATATCTGTCTAGTAAAATTATTTACGCAAAAATGATTAAAATTATTTTTTGTTAAGAAATTAGTTTTATGCCTTTTGTTGGGCTTCTAGTAAAATTTTGAAGTTGTGCTACTGCATTATTAATTATTAAATTAATTATTAAAAATGTTAAATTTTTCGTTAATCTATTAGCAAATTGCCTTATTTTTTAAGTATACAGTTGAATGTTATCTCTCTATCATATACAATTATTATAAATAATTACTAATTGGTCATTGACTTATATAAGTAAATTATTTTTAAGTTATTCAATCAATTAACAATCAAAACAAAAAGCAAAATATTTAATGTATTAAATATTAAACAAATAAAAAGAATCGTGTATTAATTTCTGTTCTAAAATAAATTGTAATTTAACTGAGTTTTATGTTGTGGAATACATTTTATTCTGAGTTGAAAATGATAGTCGATCAATTGATTTTATTTTCTTAAAGCAAACACTCAGTGATCCCTTTTCATGTGACCTCTTCAATTTCATCATGGAAGTGATCATGCGCAGGGCAGTTGTTCATCGTAATGGAATAATATTTTACAAACGTGTCCAGCTCCTTGCTTATGCCGACAACATTGACATTGACTGCTATCGAAAAGGAATCTGCAAGAATGCGTTTAGCGGTGAATGAGGGAAAAACGAAGTATATGTCGGCTACTGGTAGAAATGTGCGTCGCTAGGACACCGAGCTAGAGGCTGGCGACTATACTTTCGAATCTGTCAAGGATTTTTTTCTACCTTGGCACCACCGTAACAAATACAAATGATGTCAGTCTGGAGATTAGACGAAGAATCACCATTGCTAATAGGTGCTACTTTGGGCTCAGTAGGCAATTGGGATGTAGAACTCTCTCTCGACAAACGAAACTTACGCTCTATAGGTCGCTCATTCTCCCTGTGCTTCTATATGGCGCAGAAGCATGGATGTTATCACAGAATGATGAAGCAGCACTGGGAGTGTTCGAGAGAAAAGTTCTTCGTAAGATCTTTGGTCCTCTACAAGTTGGCGACGACTACCGCATTAGAATGAACCACGAGCTGTGCGAGCTTTATCACGACATTGATATAATTCAGCGCATCAACATCCAGCGGCTTCGCTGGCTTGGTCATGTCGTGAGAATGGATGAAGATGTTCCGGCGAAAAAGGTGTTTGAAGCAGTAGTTGGCGGAAGAAGACGTAGAGGTAGACCGTGTCTCCGGTGGAGTGATCAAGTTGAGAAACTTAGTAACGGGTTGTTATGGCCAAATAAGTAAGTAAACACTTAGAAAGCAATAACTTATCTTACACAGTAATAAATAAGATTCTACTAAATACTTCCTATACAAATGAGCAGAACTGATAAAATTTCACTATGCAAATTCATGTTCCTGTTCATGTCCATGTACATATTCATGTTGATGTCCATTTTCATGTTTATGTTCATGCTCATGTTGAGTCTTTTTCGAGTTAGTGCATCTGGGCACTTTTACTCTTTGATAGCTGGGGTATTTCTGAAGAGTCCCGCCCTTCTCATTGATTAATTTAAGTATTCCTCAAAAGCTTCGTGTGGTTATAGACTATTCTGAGATTAGATAGTGCTAAGTAGGGCAGCCTGTCAATTTTCGCGAATAGCTTTAGGGCTCTGTCCCTTATGTATTTCTTGACCGGGTCTATTCTAAGGTTACTTAGCATTTCATTAGTGCGGATGTATCAAGGCACTTTGGATAATCTTCGGAGAGTCAATAAACTAAAAACCTTGCTAAACTTATTATAGTTATATAAATCTTACAAAAATTCAATTTCCAGTGTCTAATCTCTGGGTATGTATGACTTGGACAGAAGAGATAGATCTGTCGTCACTAAAACGAATAAAATGAACCAAATCTAAAAACAGGAAAAACAGAAGACCCTTAGCTGAGTTTACTAAATATAAGACAACGTTATTAATACAATTCTCCACGTATTTTAGAAGACAAGTCGAAGACTAGCTATTGTCTTCTAGTCTGCATGTTGTCAATATTATCTATTCATATTTTTTTTTCGTCGGTCAACTTTAACTGCTTGTAATTGAATCCTTATATTTAATAAATCGCCATTTCAAATTATGGGCTCTCCATGTCAATATATGTAACTGTAAAAAGTTGAATGGCTAAGTTTAAACGTGGTTATGCCAGCTTAGTTGGTAAAGGACTATTTGGTGTGACGAAGAATCAAAAAGTTTGCCGAGGCAATAGATTTTTTTTGGACTGCTTTAGCTAACTATCGCATTTGTTTACGATATATAGAAAAATGCATTCATTCTTATTAATTTCTAGGGTTTTGTTAAGCAGAGATAGAAAAAGTTCGGGATCAAATTGATAACTGTTGGTAAAGCATAGCTATTTATAATATTTACTCTATATATTACAAAAAAACTTAAAAGAATGGATTAAAAATAATGAAAGAGTTCTCCCAGAAGGCGATAACTAAATAGTCAGCCGGCTGTTGATTAATTGATCATTCTCTATATTCATTTATTAATAGATAGGCGATATATTAATCGATATATTAAGATGTTAATGCGAAAGAGAACATATTTATAAGCGTTTTATTTATATTGGACACAAAATTTTTTGTATCATCTGTACAAGCAAAGAATCTTTTTAGTTATTTATTCGAGTTCCATTTTTAAATGAGTTTTATTGATGGAGATCAAAAAATCATCGTACCATTTTTGACATCTAACTGAAATCAGTAAATAATATAATTATTGTGTTCGTATAGTTCTACATACGTATATAAATTTTGTTCTTCACATATAATTCTCAATGACTTTACATATAATTTTTTATAAAAGATTACCATGAACGTTGAGTTTTTGACATGTTTTTAATATATTAAATATAACTCTCTGACCTTTATTTTTAAATAGCATGTTTTGTAAAGTTTATAATAAAATTGGTTATTGATATTGTACCCTACATTGTATTCTATTATATTCTTTATATCATATATTCTATTATATTCTATTATATTCATTATATTCGATTATTTCTATTATATTCTATTACATTCAATATATTATGTTCTATCATATTCTATTAATTCTATTTCTATATATTGATTTAATTCATAATTTATTAGATTCTATTATATTCTACATATTCTATTTAAATTATGGCTTTTAAGAATATAAAGTTTTACATAATCCTACAGTGATATTATAACTGTAATGGTTAATATCTGGGTCTGGTTAGCTTCAGGCTACATATTCTGAGGTGATATGCTTTACAAATTCTAGTCACAAATTAATTTAAATTATGGATATCTGACAGATGGTGTAAGAGACGTAAGTAATGAGATAACATTATTGTACCTTCTGTAAATGCGAAGAGGGCGAGAAATTTTTAAATATAGTGATATAGTGATCGTCTATTTTCATATGTTATAATTCTATTTATAATTACGTTTGACTAATAAATAGAAGAATCATCTTGCCATGTTGACGCTTACTATGAAAGAATTGTTTAATTACGATTTGTCTACATATGCATTTTTATTAGATTTTTTTTTCTTTTTATATAATTCTCAATGACTTTACATATGATGCTTCATAAAAGACGATATATTTCCATATACCATTTGTGTGTTTTTAATATAATATATGGTGTATGTGCGAATGATTGGTCGGTTTATATGTCTTGCCCAAATTTTGCATTGAATTTTAGGAAGTTTGTAGTATTGTAGTCGCATTCGTTATCGATTGAAATTTTAAAATGATCGAGACGATTTGTTTTCGGATAGGATTTTCAATTCCTATTGTTTATTATTATTATTATTATTGTGTG